ATATATATATATATAAACCATATCCCAAAATACTGAATTTGAGCATTCATACTGAAATTAAACAGCACACTGATTACAACATTAATAAACATGCATCACTAACAATCATAAATGCAGTTCAAAGTTAGAATCTCTAAAAAGGAATACATTTTATTATAATGAAAGATTCACAAGGAAGAATGAAGAAAATAAAATACATACAAAACTGTTAATATCCAGATCATGCATAATTCAAAGAAATCCCTTGACAAAAATTTGAAATAAATTTGACAAGAAATGAATTTTTGATACCATCCCAAAACTGGAGCAGTGAGGTAAAACATTCAACTCTCAGGCTCTTAAAAATGTAAAGCTTATCAATTAGAAATTAAAGCTTTCCTTGCACTGAAGAAGAATGAATAGCTTTTTATATGCATGAACAAATGTTGGCCGAAAAATTATTTATGTCCTCTATTATAAAATGTTGAAATTAATTACACATAGTGAGATCACATAAATGATTAAGTAAATGTTATGCAGTAATGCATAAATGTTATAATTTTAATTATTCCTTATTCTTTTGGATGTTATAGATGAAGTAGTCTTCATGTAAATTCTTGGTAGTCTTACAGATTATTAATTCTAAATATTCACAATAAATCACCCCCACCACCACATTTATCTCACAAACCAGTGAAATACTAACTACAAATTTTTGATTACCATAAATGAGATAAATAATTTTTTCTCTCTATAAAAATTGGTTTCTACACTATTCCCAAGTTGATTAACATTGTATATGGTAAGACAAATCTGTACACAAATTTACTCTAAAACTCATCAACCTTCACACAACTTTCACTTTCTGTGGAGTATTATTGGTACAATAAGGCAAAGATATAACAGATCAGTTTATAATTTTTGAATTACCAAAAATGCAACTGTCAAATTTAAAATGATAAGCTAATCACTGTACAATAAATTTTAGGATGTCCACTAAATATATACGAGAAGCAACAAATCAAAAAATTCAATTAAAAAAAAGATATTAAATACTCAATACTTTCATTTTCCTTTTAGACATATCAAGAAAAACTTATTGGTCAATTAATTGTTTTTCCTTCTAAGTATTACAGCCATACTTATCCAATAATTTTATAACTGACATTTTTTCCCTAGTAAGGTTGCAAGTATTATCAGAAAGAAAATATGCTTAATTATTAGCTTACCATGATGCTACATAAAACAAGTGACAGAACCACTCCATTTCATTATTTCTCAATATTGCAGTGATTCTAATACATTGAAAATCAACATTATGCTGTAAAAATACCCATATTTTCACAAATATGCACAAGAAAAGATTTAAAGATCTAAAATTGAGGAATATATTGCATTAAGAAACAAATTTGTAGCTTTAATATTAAAGATGGAAAAAATATGAAATTTTGCAATTTTTGAAATACTGTATAAATGATGTGACTGATCAATGTTGTATTATTCAGCAAAACTTCACTCATTTCGAAATAACGGTTTTAAAAAATCCGATCTTTAAAGAAAATCTTATTTAAATTTTATTTTCAAAGAGTCATGATTTCACTACAATTTAATGCAAGAAGAACCCATATCTTCAAAAAGATTATTAACACATTCAGGTCATAGTCTTAGCCCAACGTTTTTCCACCACAGGTTGTAATGTTTTGGGGTATATTTTAAGGGTCACATCTTTTAAGCCAATAATCACAGAAGCAAGATTATTTTTTTATTTTAAAGCAACAATCTTGTACTTTTATATGAAGTTCAAACTTTTATGTTTAAATTAATAATTTAAAAGACTTTTAATACAAATCACATGCTCGTAGATTCTACAGACATCGTAATTTAACGGGACCTATTAGCGCTTGTAGATTCTACAGGCAGTGACCTGAATGTGTTAAAGATATTTAAAGATGACATTTTTGAAGGACAGATTTTCTTTAAGAAAAATAACTCTATCTTCAATGATGTAGTTGGTAGAGATGGTCAACAAAGTTTTAAACTTTTGATATTTTCATAGGAAAATTCAGAGGACTTGCTGAAAATTGAATCTGTGCCATTGTTATAAGTGTACATTGCCCTTTGAAGGCTGTAGCAAAACATTTTTCAAAAAAATTTGGGGAATTTTTTGGGAAAATTTCAAAAATGTTGTTGGGACTTTGTATAGTGAACACCCCAAAAATAAAATAACTTAAGAGGCTGTGACATTACCCAGAGAGATTGGGAAATACCCATTTTAGTATCATGTAGCTGCTAGAGTTGTTCGCAAGCAGACAGTCAACTTGAGAAAAAATTTTTGGTAACAAGAACCCACAAACTCGGATATTAACTACAATGAGGAAAATATGGTTTATTACATATAGGGCAAGAACAAATCTCATAACTTTCTCTTATTGTGTAATAGATATGAAAAAGTAAAATTTCAATACATTTAAAAATAAAAACAATCTTCAACACAGGGATGTAATGAAACACGTGAGCTTGTAAACTGAGAATGCTCGAATGTTGCAAAATTGTCCTAAATATGCCAATAGTTATAATTTAAGGTAAGTTTTTGATTTGTTGCCCTCAAAGTACAGCTGAGAAAATAAAATTTTATTTGTATCTGCAAGACAGAAAGAAAACTCACCTGCAAAGCACCAACGTCCTGTGGTACGCGCAAACACAAGCAGGAAGATAGCCAACAACAGCACAAGGATAGCCACAACAATTCCAATGATTGCCCCAGCTTCAAGTGATGTCACTACAATGAAAGACAATCCGTATTAGATCCTAATCCTAGGAACTAAAATGAAATTTTGTTAGTAATTACTGTACTCTACTCATTCTAATGAAATTATAAATCAGAGTGAAAATAATAATATCTTCAGTGAATAATAATTTAAGGGCAAATCACTAGTATTAGAAAAGACTTGTACATTTAACCCAGTGTACCTTTGAACCTTGTTTTATTTGAAGACCCTGTCAAGGCCATCTTGTCGCAGCTATTCTAGTTAGTTTGTCAAGTATGGGCTCTAATGTCCTGGTATCAACTTGTCAAGAAGCCTTTTGATCAGAGAAGTTTTTGTTTTCCAGCATTAAAAATTAATTATTAGTTAATAATAATAATAATAATAATAATAATAATAATAATAATAATAATAATAATAATAATAATTTATTGAGTCACATTTACAATTACATTTATAAATTTTGAAAACATGAAAAAATAAAATAAAAGTGGTTTGTAGATAAAATAAATTAGTGTATTCAAAAGTACAACAGTCTCCCCTAATATTGGAGTATTAATAACACTAGATATCACTTAACTTTTTATTACAGACTCCATTACTTATTAATTTAATAATTTATAAGGCATGAATGTTTGGCTCACAATTTACAATTAAGCTACCTAATCTGCTTTTCTGTCTGTTAGATTACAAAGAGGCAATAAAAACATGCCTATGGAGTGACCTAAAACCATTAGTACATTTCATGTGAAACTAATTAAATCAAATAATCACATAGGTTTATAAAAAACAATATAGCTACAAAATTGAAAACAAGAAAATGAAACCTTACCAATAGGTTCTGAGCTGGTTGATAGCCGTATCCTGTACGTTTCTTCACCCAGCTCATTACGAGCACTAAGAGCATATTCTCGTTCAATGTCCTCCATGTTAACTTCATTAATTCTTAGGACAGCTGTCCAAGATCCACTACCCTGTTCACAAAAATCGGTGGCAATAATTATTTTAAAAATATAGGTATTTTTAACTCTTAAAGTATTACTTCTAATATATATTTCAGTATCAACTGACATAAAAAGAATCCAAATCAAAAAGTTCTGTTAACTATAAGGAGTAAACATTTCTATTGATACTACTTGAAACTTACATTGTTCATCAAAGATGAAGCATGAAAATGCCCATCATATCCAGCTGAATTTTCTTGCACCACTTCTTCATTAATTTTCCATGATACAGTAGGTTTTGGATAAGCATTTACTTCAACAGCAATTTCTCCAGGAACTCCCACTATGAAGCCAAACTGATCAATGGGATTTGAATGTGGTCTGGGGGCAACTGAAATTCAAGAAAACATTAGACAGTGTTAGGATTTGCTTCCCACTTCTGTTGTAAAGCATACGACAAATGATATAATTAAATCATAATGGTTTTTAATAATTGAAGTGAACTTTCAAACTGAGAGTCCATTTTGAAGGAAGGAACAATAATTTTCACTTCTGAACAATCCCGTAAATTGTTTGTTTCAGAACCAGCAAACTCCATTTTTATTTGAAATTGAGTTATTAGCATTATGGCAATTGTAACATTGAACTTATATAATTGCACTTATTCTTTAAAATTTTGTGAAAAGCATATTATATTTGGAATAAAATCAAAATCAACATCAAAACTGTTTGATTCAAAGATAGAAATCTAGAACACCTTTTAGAGAAGCAAAATAGCTTCTTCCCAGCACGCAGATGCATTAGATTGTATGTACAATAATCAGCCAACTTTAATATTGTAAATCCCAAGTAACTTCTGATAATGATTGTAGAATTCTAAACAAATATAATAGGATACCAAAGTCAGCAAAATCCTTTTTTATTAGATCTAACAAAAAATCTTTAAGCAATTACTTTGACGCAGCAATCTCCATATTTCAAATGCTGATTGTACAATCCTAACATGGTTTACTGCAAAATTGTTTTAATTGTTCATTGAAATATATATTGAAACTAAAAATAATCTCAATAGAAGAAAGGTCAAATAAGTTTTGGGTCCTGTAGAAAAATCAAGAAAATAAAAGTGACAGGTTTGAAATTAACTCCCTCAATTTTGTTCAAGAATAAGCTTTTCAAGAAAAAAGTTGAGTTAAGTTGATTATGATAGATGCAACAAAACTGAAAATTTTATCTTAACATTTGATTTTTCTATTTAACAATTACTTACATTCTTCACCCATGGTGGAAATAATTTGAAGACTAAGATCTGCCAATATAACTTCAAAATTAAGATGGATGAGAAAGAGATATGGATATGATAGCTTGATGACAAGAAAGAAGTGAAAAATGAAACAGAGAGGAAAAATTTAAGGATATTCTAAAATAATTTTCAAGACTTTGGCACTGATATAGAGAGATAGTATATTTCAACCACATACCAGAGATTTTCAACTTGCTAATGAAAGGCAAGATATTAATTTCGCCAGAGAAAGAATACATAAAATACAGAATTAAATTTGTTGAAAGAATCATTACCCTGATGAGAAATCAAATCTGGGATTCCTGATTTATGTCAAGTTGCTCTAACCACTGAGCTACCTAGACAACCATTGCTCTGAATGGGTTCTTAGATCTGATGTATAGCCTGTTATATGCCTTTTAATGGTCACCACTCTGTCACCTTATTGGAAAGGCAATTTAATTACTAATATACATTTGTTACATACTAACAATGTCACATCATGGGAAACATTAGTTGTGTGGAACATATTTCTGACGTAAATGCCTCTTCAATTAGGTGTCAGGGTTGTGACCATCAAATAAAACATAATATTAATGGAATTTTAAATCAGTACTGAAAATGTGATTTCCAGATTTAATCTTCATCAAATAATTACTTACATTTAACATTTACTGCAGCAGATGTCTGGTTATTGCGGTTACTATCCTCTAATGCAAGGTGTCCTGCAACACATCTCAACATTTTTCCATGGTCTCGCCAAGACAGCTGATAAGAAAGGTTCTGTTTCACTGTGAAGAGATCTCTGTCAGTTGTGTGAATAGTTTCAAGGTTGGTAAGGCCACGAGTCACTTCTTGATCATCTGTAAAAAACAACAACAAATTCTACTGTTGTATCACTTTAGATAGAGGTGATTTTCAGGTCAAGTATGTGGTGTGCTATTTAATTACAAATACAGAGGAAGTTTCTGAAGAGTAGTTTTTTATCTTTCAGCAATATTATTTACAAAAATTTGGCAAGCAGCAAGGAAATATTAATGTGTATATAATTAACCTGCAATTAGAACATTAATTATTCTTACCCAGAAACCAGGATATATTGGCTGGTGGTCGACTATCACGGATAGTACAAGATGCAGTTAATGTATCACCATCACGGAATTCACTTTCATCACGGCTGGGATACCTGTCATTACTTCCATAGCCACTTCCATAACTAGGTCGCTGACCAGAACTTGACACTGCCAAATCAGGTGCATTTGGAGCCACTGAATATAATGGAAACAAAGCAGTTATTCACCTTGCATTAAACATAATTCAAAGTGGTGAGTACACTCTTCAATTATATTAAATTAAAAAATATAGATGGAAAACAAAGTAAAATTTGTAATGATCCCTCTACACCAAAAAATGAATGAGTTTTCATATAGAATTTTTGAGAAAAACTCCCATTTTTTTCAATAACAACAGTCAAATAACATCTTTACTCTCCATTCATATTTTCTTATAAATTCTAAGTGGGCCGGGAGCGGTCCGGGAGCGGTCCGGGAGCGGTCCGGGAGCGGTCCGGGAGCGGTCCGGGAGCGGTCCGGGAGCGGGCCGGGAGCGGGCCGGCAGCGGGCCGTTAGCGGGCAGGGAGCGGGCGGGGACGGGGCCGGGAGTCGCACCTGCGACGGTGATGTTGAAGACGCCGATGCCCTCCTCGGGCAGGTTGCGGAAGCCCATGGTGCAGCGGAAGCCGCCGTTGAAGCTGGCCGGCAGGCGCTGCACGGTGAAGCCGCACTGGCCCGACTCGAGCCCGGCGCCGGCGTACTTGACGCCGTCCGACGACTGCGGCAGGTCCTCGTTGAGGTTCCACGTGGAGCGCTCCTGGCCCGCGCGCGGCGTCGTGTGCTCGATGCGGCAGTACTGCAGCGCGCGGCCGGCGCGGCACTGCACCGTCACGCGCTGGCCCTCCATGGCCACCGTGACGCGCGGCGACACGTCCACCGACACCGCCGCCGCCCCCGCCGCCCCTGCAACCGACACTTCCCTTCACTCTCCACCCACCAACCTTCAGGTACATTAAAACACACTATAGTAATAGAATGTGATTAAAGATTGCATTGGTTAATTTTCACCATAATTTATGAATGAATGAATGAATTAAAATGGGGATTCTTCTAATATCAAAGTATTAACAATGAAGTATGCATTTCATTTAAATTGAAATATTATTTATTAACTGTTTTACTATTACATTTCGACGATAATACGAGTAGTCATATTTGGAACTGTGTAATTATTATAAGTTCGCGCGAAATAACAGTAAACAATAAACACAGTTTTGTTTATAATTAAAACATTTATGATATATTTTTAATATACATTTTTATGTTAATTTTTCACCATCTCCATTGCTCTAGGCGCCATCAACTCACGCCACTCATCTGGTTACGCATATTTCCTATTATCACCTTAGTTAAGCCCTTCGGCTGCCACTACGTTGATCAAATACATACTAGCATGAAGACTGGAACATATTTACGGTCTTCGGGCATGCTAGGACTACTGTCACTACGGTAGACACATGGGCACTACTCACACGCACTCACGGGGCACATACATCAGTCATTACTTCGACATTTTCAAACAAAACTCGGGCCCATCACACTTATACTTCCAAGGATCACCGCTCCTCCAATAGATAAAATTTTCTAGAAGTCAAACCTTCGCTTATGGTCTAGCCACCTCGGAGGACACGTTTGTATCCTCGCCCATCACTTTACTCTCCGTACAAATACCCAGAAGTATTGCGATTACTCCCAACAAGGCCCAGCAGAGTTACCTTTAAGCTTTCAAGGACCAGCGACATTCGGGATCTTTCCAGGTTGTGGGAATTGAACGTCATCGCGAACAAGAGTACTCAGATGCAGCTGATTAAAAAAAATCAGTTTAGAAGAATCTTCGATACGAAATACTAATATTTTGCGAGCTCAATGTTGCAAAACGTATGTCACTACACAAAAGGCGACAACACTACACAAAACAGGTTAAATGCAGCGGAACAAATATTAAAAGCGGAAAGTTTTTCCATCGACTATTCCATCGATCCTTTGACTTGATATTTTATTTATTACAGAACCCATTATCCACTCCTAATATTTCTGTATTTAACAAGGAAATAAATTATCTGCTCTTTCTTGAATTCAATTCTATTTTATGAAAGTGATGAAGTAGTGGCGCACTTTAAAATGCAGTTTTTACGAATATTTTTTCAATATATTTTCGAAAGAGACAAAATTGTCGGAAATTAATAGCAAATCGCTCTGTTGAAACAGCTTCACATGAAATCAAGAGTGACAGGAAGTTTGATATTAAAATACCGGAAAAAGTAACAGTAGATAAATCAATTAGTAAATTATTCTTATTTTGAATAGTGATTGGTTCATAGATGTTATTTTGAGTTTCGCAGTGAATCGTTTTGGAATTGAACAATTCTTGTAAGGCATAAATTAATACGTGATATAAAATTGTTACAATTATTGTCAGAGCAGCGATAAATGTTTTTATAAAAATATAGTTCTAAAATAAATCAATATGTTGAAATAAAACATTCAATCCTTCATAAACTTAACATTTATCATAACACTTTGAGAACAATGAAATCGGCTTTTGCGCAACATATTAAATTGTAAATAATGGCGTTTATGTTAAAATGGCGTCATACCTAGTTTCAATCACCTTTTTGTCCCAGTACGTCTTACCTTCCACTTATCGAATAAACTCAAATGATGAGGCTATTATTAATTACCAATTGGAAATCCTATCAGATCTCGAGTCACAAAAAACGAAAAAATATAAAGAAATATTCATCAGGCGCAAAACAAACAGTTTTCTCACTATTTTCGAGCACTTCCGTCCTTGCTATTGGTCGATCAGAATTGACGAATGGCGAGCGCGAACGAAATGGGAAAGGGGGAAAACTAATTAGAGGGAAATTATCTCGGAGGGAGGGTTTCAAAGTAGAAAGATAACGAGGCCAAGCTTTAGGGTGGCAGATCGGGGAGTCGCCATACTGGAAGGCCGACGTCAACTGGGATTGGTGGGTGCGATAAGTGGAAGGGGCGAGGGACCCTAATTCAATCGTGGTGTGGTTAAGGCAAATTCATTTTGCGAGAAGGGATCTACGAACGTTAAAATGCTATGTGCAAAGTTGGCCTAACACGAACGCTTTGCGATGCGTTGCTGTAAGTTCAGGGATTGATTACTACCGCGTATCAATTTATTTAAGACCGTCAGTGGGGGAGGGGCGGGGCTGGGCAGCGTTACCGCACTTTGTCGCAGCGGCTTCACTGCAAAGCAAATATTAGCTAGTGGACAAAATGCATGTATTCCAATTACGTCTTGTTCCTTCTGAGGCTTACAGTTGCCCCCCCCCCCTCCCCAGCTGAGACTGTTACCTCAAGGCGCAGCCATCGCTCTAGTGCCAACGGGCCTAGGTCGCTGTCAGTCAAGTAGTTACTGTCTCAGGTATGCACAGTATGAGACAATTTTTTTCATTTTTCAGTAAAAATCGAAATAGGGTCATTTTTTACAAAAATCCCCGAAATCCTGGGTTTGTAACGAAACTATTAGACATCACTCACTTGACCAGAAGTTGCTTAGTTTTCCAACAATTTTTGAACATATTCAAAATTAATAATATAGATATTAAACCTCGCATTTCTTCTTCAGTAGAGCATTTACGAGTTAGGAGCAAACCTGATAGATTGCTTATTGGAGTCGCTGGTGCTAGCACATTGTCACTAAGACAATGGCGGCGTCACTACGTGACTGTCGAGGACAGAGAAGGTTGACGCGGGATAGACATTTAATTGAGGATACGGTTTGCCCTTGTGAAATATATTTACGTTAATTTTTCGTGAAAGACGTCTAAATGCAACACATTACACAGTTTCTTAAGTCAGCAAAATTATAATTTTGTTAACTACAGAAATTTTCTAATGCCTTAATGTCAGCACAATAATAAGGGTCGTGTGCCTTCAAAATTACTGTTGGAGCATCTTTTAAATGCAATTTCCATTTCTGGCTTTTCTTCGGGCAAAATATCACCATTTTCTACCATAGTTTTATGAGCGTTCATGGAGACCCTTATCTCATATCCTTCACGCAAGTTCAGGCCGCATTTCACTCTGAATACCTTCAAGAATTGTAATAAGAAAACAACAGTGCTAATCTCCGTTTCTTATTTGACGGTTCCCATTTCTTTGCTTCATTTCAAAGTTACAGATTAATCACCTTCATTAAAACACGCCCGAGAAGAAACACCGGAGAGTTTGCCAGCCATCGAAGCATCTCCTCTCCCCATCTGCCCGCCCAGCCGTTCAAAACAGAACGCTCACCAAAACACAAACTCAACCACCGCAAAACAACACATGTTTCACCCGCCATAAATCAGACGACTCATTAATTATTTGGAACTCTGCCCGACGCCGTTGCTTTGCCACCGCAGAACAAAATGGCGCCATTTTTCGTTAGGACGACGCGACGTTGGCAAAAACGTTCGCAGATGACGCGAGTGTGCCGCAAACGGTTCCGCGAGTCGCCGAGAGATGGCATGCGCGTCGCCAAGACGCATCGCGAACGAGATTCGCGCGCGGGATATGAGTTCGTGAACGCGCGGTCGGATGGTCTCTCAACCTCCCGTCTCCCGCCCGCGGGCTGCGAATAAAACTGTCATCAGCGATTTAGACGGCGTATAACTCTAATGGTATCGGCGTGCGCGAATTTTTTATTTCCTTTTTTTTTTTCATTTGCGAACGAATTCCGCGTTGCCACGCGCGTCCGGGCATCAGTGCCGTTTTCCGATTCGCTCCCCCGGCGAAGTCCCGGCGGCGGTGGCGCGGCGGGGGAAATCGACTCCCCTCCCTCTCCCCCCTCCGGTTTCGATCTCCCCCCCGCACTCCCCGCCCAGCCGGCCGCGTTTCCTCCACCAATAAAGCTGCCATCAGCACGGCGAGTAACTCTAACGCTATCTGCCAGGCGATTTTTCGCCACAAAAACTCCCCTTGCGCCGACGCGCCTGCCGAGAGAAGGGTTGCTGAGGAAGCCCGCCTCGGCGAGGACGGGGTCCAGAGGCGTGCAGTTCAGCGCCAAAACGCGTTAGCTGATAGTTTCGACCACAGAACACATGTGTAAGGGAAATTAACGTATCAACAAATAAAATAAGTTTCGAAAAGCTAATGTCACTGGAATAAACATTTTAGAATTATTTTAATGTTTAAACGAAATTAATATTATTTGGTTAGCATATCTTAGTATACGTTCAATAATCAAAATATTAAAAATTCGCTTAGAACTAAATTTAAATAAATTAAGCAGATAACACCTTTTATTATTCTATGGATCCACGTACGATCCACTTGATTGTTGTGTTTGGCTGAGATAAAACCACGTATTAGTAAATATCATGCTATCATCCAGTTCTCATGGAAAAAACCTTCTCGCTTCTGTCTCTGTCGGGATGAAGAGTTTCAAGAAACTTGAATCCTCAAAGTACCTGATACACGCGATTGAGCACGAACATATGGAACCAGATACAAGTGCTTCAAAAAGCTGCCCAACGTTCGTGTTTTAGGGATCCCTAGCGGCGATCCTTGGAGGGGCGGTTACAAAACGCATCATACACGTGCTACACATGTATGAGGAGGAATATACCTGGTGATCGTTTCGACCATAAAGTCATTTTTTACGATAAAAACTTCCGTTGCGTCGACCCGCCTGGCGAGAGAAAGGGTGTTGCGAGGATCGGGCTCAGCGAGGACTGAAACCAAAGCGGTGTAGCTCGCCCAGCCCATTGTATGTGTGTCTCCTAGTTCAGGGTATGGAGCACACACTACCGCACAGGGCATGACGCGTGCATACCTTACTGACGAAATCACGCCACAATAACCTTCATGCTCTGTTTCAAGTGATTTTTCGTTGTACAAACTCGCTCGAAACTCGTCGTAACAGAGTGGAAGAGGCAGACATTACGAGGATCTCGAATCAAGGGCCTGTATGTGTATGCAGCCTAGTACTTGTAACGAACAGTACTTATCATCATTAAAACACACTTTCACACGTAAAATATTCAGCAGTGATGTTACATAGCACTTACGAGACAATTCACCACGCTCGATAGTAACTAACACAACCGGAACTGAAGGAGGAAACGGCGTTGGGTTTAGCGTGACTTGTATTCGGCGTTACGTGACTACGGACGAAATGTACTAAAGATATTTTAGGAGATACAAAACGGTGAAAGGAATTATTTAAATAACTGAAGGGAAGACACCTCTTGAATACAAATAATAAAACTGGATAAATACGATCAACAAATTCCCACATTGTGGATATATAATGCGATGGACGTTTTCTTAGCCCCCTCGTTTGTTTTTTCAGTTTAGGCCAATGGTAATGGACACTATTTCGACTAGGGCAATAATGGCTTGTTAGTTTATGGCGAATTGGTTAATGCCTTGTTAGTTAATGACGAGCCTCGGGTCATCAGGCCGGATCTTTCGCCTGACACACGCACCAAGAAAGAAGGTATCATCTCGGTCGACGAAACGTGATTTGAATTTAGCTCAGGGGTTTCTTTTAGGCTTGAGCATCTTTAATATAAAGTAAAAGTAAACCTACTACATGGGGCAGCCGGCTTACTGCCACTCAGAAGGAAGACGCATGTAGGATTTTTTCACCGTCAAAAATCTGCGGCTTCGATCGGTTTGAACCCGCTAACTTAGACACAACAACCTGATACTCTAACCATTACACCACCGAACCCGCGATAAGAGTACATTTACCTAGAAAATACAACAAAAGCAAAGCGTTTCACAGCAAGTGGAAAAATTCAAAATCCTCACTTTTTTAGGAACACGCCCCGGATTGCTCTTGGCTATTGGTCGCCCTGGTCCAGCTTTGACGGTGGCGTGCCGAGACACCAACGCGATGGAGCACACACGCGGGCAGCCGGTTTTCCAAGTAATCGCACCGATCCTTCATTACCCATTACCTTAATAGAGGCGTCATTTGAAGCTGGCGGGCGGGGGCCTCAACGACACTCAAGCCGAGGGACTGGGGCGATGGAAATTCCGATGTACAGCAGCGCACTCACTTTACAGCCTCAGGCTGAGCGGCTTTACGTGCCGCTGGACAGGGCCGAGGGCAGAGGACACGTCCGAGAGGGGGCGAATACACAGGACCACGTGGGTTATGGCCTCCCGAAATGCAATTCTACTGCACTCTGCCCGCCGGGTCGGTTTGCAATTCAGATCTGCAGAAAATTACGTTATATCTGCAATATAGCAACTACTTTTGAGGGCAAGAACGGAACACTACACTTTGTTGTAGTAATATTTTCTTTGGATACACGCCACGTACTCTGCTCACTCTGCTAACATGTGAATATTCCTGCCCGAAGCGGGTTCGGACTCTGGACCTTACACGAGAGATACAATGATATCATTAGTGGATACATCTTTACAGACCATGCACACGCACAAGCGACCAACCACGGATCTAAATTATACATGACATATAAATATATCTATTGGTACTATCTTTTCGAATAGAAAGATGCTTAGCATGAAATTTGGAACAATCTTTCAAATAAGGTTAAAAAATACATGTATGTTCATGTGGTTCTTAAAGGGTAAATAATAATTAAAAATTTCAGTATTAATAAATAAATTTACAAATAATATATTATTTTGAAGAGTGTTTGAAGAGATTATGGCAAGAACATTTTGCTTCATTCTTAATTAGTTTTGAAAATGATTACTGTTGCTGGTGGCGGAGAAAGGTAAAAACCGAATTAAATTTAGGTTTCGTACCAAACATAAACGTCAACTCCATGAGTTAACAGTCCTAACGTAAAAAATCGTACTTGTTAAGTTTTCGTGTTTGAAGAGATACTTCATACTTCATTCGTTTTGAAAATAATAACAGTAGCCGATGGAGGAGAAAGGTAAAAAAGTGTTAAATTCAGGTTTCTATCGTTTCTTCATAAATATAAACGTTATTCCATGAGTTAACAGCGCTAACGTAAAAAATCGTATACTTTCTGAGTTATCACATTCAGGCGAAGATGGCACACTCCGGAGCCGTCATCGTCGCCGGTTCACACGCACGGGCGCGAGCAGCCAGTTTGCGCGCCACTTTGCACATCTCCGGCAGGCACCGGGGCGCCCTCGCCGAGGCGACGCACGGCGCGGCGCGGCGCGGACGCGCGGCTCGGCGGCCGGATGACATCGGAGCCGTCACACACCGGAACATCCGGGCACGAGACGAAGTGCCCGCCGCCCCCGCCCGCTTCCGAGGGCTTGTCGCCCGCCCCGCGCCCAGCGAGGACACAAGTTTGCAAACCGATTTTTCAAATCTTCTGCGGAAATTGGCAGGCGCTCGCGGGGGCGGGGGAGGGGAGGGGGCGGCCTGACGGGCCCGGTGCGCGCGCGGGCGCGAGAGGGCCTCTCGCGAAATGGGGAAATGCGGCGCGCGCCCCGGACGCTGGGCGGCGGGGGCGGCGAAGATCGAACGCAACACTTGGGCGGCGCGGCGCCACCGGAGGGCCGTCGCCTGCGGGAGGGAGAGGGGGGGCCCGAAGGCAGAAACGGATGCGGCGCGTCTGGGCGCGGCGGGTCGAGCGCGCGGGGGGCGAGAGGAGGCAGAAAGTGGTAATGCGTCTCTTTGACTGCGGCGCGGCGTTGATGCCGAGCGGGATAGGCGTGCATACGCGGGAAAGGCGGCGGCTGCGCTGAGCGGACGCGGGTGGTGTGGATGTGCGAGTGTGAGGGGCAAGCCTGCAGGGGTGCCCGGCGCGGGATCGAGCGGGGACGCACGCGGGGCTGAGCGGAACAGGGCGGGGACGGCGCGGGACAGGGTGGACAACAGAGGCGGACAGGGAAGGGCGGCGGATCGGAATGCGAATGAGAGGGCGCGGATGGGGAATGAATCGATTGAGGAAGGGCCGAGGCGGGGAGAGGGTGGGGGGTAAGGAAGGGGCGGGGTAAGGTAATGGGAATGGGCGGAACGAGGGCGGAAGCGGGGTAGGACGGGGTACTAGTGTGAAGTTAGGGTGGCAGAGAATGGACGGGTGAGCGCGGGCGCGGGTGGGACTGGAGTCGTGGGCGGGAGTGCGGGAGAACGGGGGCCCGGTTACGAAGCAGCCAGCCACGAGTAGAGCGGAATGCCCGGCGACGCTCATGTGCGGGAGGCAGCAGGTCGGGGCGGGACATGGGTGGCACGTGGTGTAGCGAGGCGGGGCGGAGTGGGGCGTGGTGGTGCGGTGCGAGGTGCAGAGGGACGGGGCGAGTCCGAGTGGGGGAGAGGCGCTGCTGGTCTTGGGCGTCCGCCGGCGCCGTCCGCGGGGTGCCGCGTTGGGGGTCCTCGCTGGGCGCAGTCGAGTTGCCTCAGAGCTGCGGATGCTGTCTGCGCTCGGGCCGCATATCACCGCAACGGGAGCGATAGCGCCGCGCACGTCAGTGGTAAAATACGGATCATTGTGAGATATAGCGCACTGGAGAAACGATATTCGGAACGTACACCAGCCAGGCCACGGTCTTGCTGCGTCTCTTGCTACACGGCTTGAAATTCCGTTCATCCCTGTTGAAATAATGGAAGTGGGTTTGTTGCCAATTCATCACGGTTCAGCTTCCTTCGAATCTCATTCCGCCATTCTCCATTCATCTCATTATTCCTGCCTTCACCGATCATTGAATAATCATCATTCTCATTTACTCATCAAATCTTTGATTTTTCCTTCGAAAGCGCAACATATTGTTTTAACTCAAACGGTGTAAAAAATCTGTAATATAATTTATTGGTTGGTTAGTGTTTCCCGGCACGCCAACTGTTAAGGTCATTAGACCCGTAAGTGTAGTGCATGGTTCTATCGCGGGAGGTGGGAGTGATATCCCCCCCACAGGATGGCGAGTTACACGTCGGCCAGCAGAATTTACCCCAACCATCTCCCATCAGCAGGCCCCACCTGGAACAAACTCTAAGCTCCCGACTAGTGTCGCAGCATGTGTGGTAGTGTAGTGCAAGTGAGCGTACGTGTGTGTAAATAAGCAGGTAAGAAAAGAACACGGATGGCGAAGGAAAGATCGCGCGTGGACCGTGACCCGTTTGTTAGGGGATTGTTCCGGTATTTGCCTCATGTAGAACGAAGAAACCACGGAAAACTACCGATAAGAGCAGCTGGCCACCAGAATACTCCCCTAGAGAGCGGCTGAATTCAATCAAGCTCTCAAAAATCCCGCCACCGCCGGAACTCAAACTCTAGGACCTCTCGGTCAGAGGCACTGCATTGAGATCAATTGATACCATCAGCCACCCGAGCCGGTTTATTATTTGGAATCGAATAGGATAGCGACCTGCGCAGTCAACTCGCTTTCCAGAGGGAACCGCAACGCGCCGCCCCAAAGCCCCGTATGGGCTGATATATTCCGCGGCGCTCGGTTGAAGCGACGGGTAAACGGCGTCGCCACCGCCGCCGGCGCTTCGCATGCGCCCAGGGGTACGCTGCGAGGGGGGCGGGGGGGGGGGGGGCAGCGAAATGAAAGAGCCCCGCGTGACGGCTCCCGGGCAGAAGCCAGGGCCCCGAACTGCCAGGTGCTCTGCCGTCGACGTCTTCGCCCGAGGAAGAAACAAGCGAACGCGGGCGGAGGGGAGATCGCCATTAATCCCGCCGCCCGAGCCTCAGGCGCCGATGGAAGAGCCTCAGGCGCCCACGTGAAAAATACGAAACGTCCCGTCGAGCCTCTTAGCTCAGTTCTTAAGAGTCGCAGACATTCGTGCGAGCGCCGGTCTGGCATTTTCTTGACAGCGACGCTTTAAGCGTTTTAATTTAATTTTCAAATAGAACCATTCATTACCATTCGTTCGAGCGTTTTATTTTAAGTTTGTAACTGTGCATTTCAACGAGAAATTTGACTGAGACCTAGACATCCGTACATGTGATTTTTGTAAACGCCACTGACATTTTTACGAACGATTTAAGTGAATTTTTTAATAATGCGTAGGCTTCGCGAAAGCGTTTTAAGTGTATTTTCTGAACAGACTGGGCCTTGCGTTTAAAGAAAGGCGAAGTTTGTATTATTTAGCAAACGTTGCCATCCATCCAAACAGCTAACGCATATTGAACTGACTGTGAATGTGTAATTACATTTAGTATATATATATATATATATATATATATATATATATATATATATATATATATATATATATCATATCGCTCAACATATACACGCGCGCGCATGTACCAACACACGTGTGTATACATATACGTGGTTTTGTTTTTATTATGTTAATGTGTCTTAATGTAACTGAAATGTAATGTGTTGTTAAATTTCTTTGTAATACCTCTTAGAAATCTATTTTTGGGTGTTGAACCCTCAGTAGATCAAATCTATGTTCCTATACGTAAAAAAGATTTATAACATAACTTTTCTAACAGTAAGAAGTGTAGTTTTTCTTCTAATATGAAAGATATTAGTGGCAAATTCGCCGTTCTTTTCCATTAAGTTTGCTTCTGAATAATCGTAATGATAATTCGGGTAGAAGTGCTCCGTAACAAGGAAAACAATCGGACGGTCGTTACTTTGGAGGGGAACCAAAACGAAATCTCCATTTCCAAAACTTTACGAAACGCAAATCATTAAATTCTAAGCTTTATGACTTCCAGGTGACCTACTTTCGAATTACAAACTTAATTACAGCAGCCAAACTGGTGACTTGTGACTAAATTGCCAACAGACCTGAATTTAATGGGAAAATTAGAGAACACTTTTATTCGTATTGTTATATTTTATTAAGCCCAAATGAAACAGAATCACAGCTTATTCGACTATACGTATAAGACAGTTTCAGGAAGGGACAATTGATGAAATTCCAATAGTCCGAATTGGACTGCTTACTGGGGCAACGTGGTCTTGAATTATTCTTCTTCCTTACAAGTCTCAAGTATTTTTTGGACATTAAATAAATACTGAAACCTATTAAAAATATCTTGCCTCTGGTACACCTCAAAAGCAGACAGATTTCATGACATATTACGATTTTTTGTATTGAGTTTTTCTTTCAGGTTAAGCTGCATATTGTGGAATACGCAGTTTCCGCCCAGAGCCGCATGGCGCGCTGCCCGACGCGTTTAGCGCGCACCGGAAGCAAAACCGAGCAGAGCGGTCCTGCGCGGTGATAAGCAACATAGATTGCGCGACAATCGCCCAGGAGAACCGCAAGAGTTGAGTCCAATCCTTATGTCATTCATGCATCTGCTAGAAATCGAAGTTTCGAAAAACGTTTTCCTCTTCGGTCCTAAGTTAACGCTGCATGTGCAAATTAAATCCAGTTCACAAAAACCGAGCTATTGTTACAAAAATACACACCACCTCTCGTGGAAATGACATCAGTGATAAAAACCGATTTAATTAAAGAGACAAAAAATATTTTGTTTTGAATAAACATACCACATTAATCCCAATAATGGTTTGTTGGCTCGTTGATATATTGACATGAAACAAGCGTTTAATCACATTTAATGTACAGTTCATCAAGATTAGTCATGTAATATTTCTTTTTAGCTTTTTGTAATATTTTATGATGGATTTCAAGTTCTAAATATCAAGCGAGCAAAATCAAAATGTGATTGAAAAATGTTCAAACTTGTTTTAATCTTCGTAAATCAGATCCATCCGTCTCATATCCGAAGTCTGATGCAGATTATTCAAGCGACGTTAAAATATTACGACCGTCCACAAGAATTCGCCTCTTCTTGAAGATCACAAAGAGACCTCATTTCTTAAAACACAATCCTCCCCTTCTTTTTCCGAAACCATCTCCATCCTGCAAGCAAACAAGAAATATCTCCTCGCAGGCAGGCACCAGTCACCGCAATCACTCCATGGTAGCGGAGCCATGGGGCGGGGCAGCGGAATAGGGGCGTGGCGGAGGAGCGTGGTGGAGGGGCGTGGCGGAGGGGCGTGGTGGACGTGTGTGGTGGAGGAGGGTGGATGGGCTTGGTGAATGGATGTGGTGGAGGGGTGTGGTGGAGGGTCTTGGGAATGGGATACGTACGAAGAGACGTGGTGTAGGCGCATGGGTGGGTTGAGAGGGTGAGGTCGGGGTGGAAGTGGAGGCGTGAAGTGGGGGCGTGGGGCGGAGGCGTTAAGACGGGGCGGAGGCTTTGGGCAGGACAGGGCCAGTGGGGCGGGGAACAGGCATGGGAGTGGAGGTAGAGGTGAATGGGC